ACATGGCTCTACCACGTAAACCTTAGCAAAAGCCTACTCACTCTTGCCTTGAAGACACCCATATTCCGATTGTTCACACATTTCATATATAAAATAGGTGATATAATATCCCCAACATAATGCAATGAAAGTTAGGATACCTATATAAGCGATAATGTTCTCCAGACTGAATTTACGACGGTCAGTCTCAAAAGACTAGCCACCTGCGCAGGACTGGATTACAATGTACGAGTGTGTACGCAAGCACGTTCTAACACTTACAGTACGACGGAATGGAAATCTTACACGACCGGAGAGAGATCATCACAGGACTAAAGATTTTATGAGGCATGCAGTTGAAATACCGCCTACTTCCTGACTCCGGACTGCTGTTGAGAATTTCTTCACATAAAGCCCCATATAACAGATTTTGATACGACCCGGGATTTGAACCCGGGATCACATGATTAACAGTCATGCTCACGACTACTACTCCAGAGAGACAATCAAGTTGGATTCTCATATTATCATTATTGCAACATTTGGCAAGTGTTTTGTAAAGTTGAAAAATAATAAATTGGTTTGGTTTGGTTTGGTAAATGTTACTTGTATTAGGTAGAGTGGCTCTACTGTGTACTTAACAGTAGAATCACTCTTTTTTTAACAGTGGTAGAGCCACGCGGCAGCTTTTGCTGTCGCATGGATGGGCCGGCTCAAACCGGGGTAGTACCACGACCTCACAGAAAACCAGCGTGAAGTACAGGTTTACCTCTGCGTTTCGCTTGGTGAGTGCAGGTGGCCGGAAGCCCTTTTTACTGGAAATGAGGCATTCCATCTTAGTCCTCACGGGTGAAAACGCATCTACATTTTGATTTGTAATAGAGGATAGATGTAGATGTCTATGGGCCGCAGCAACTTTACCATCAGGTGGACTGTGTGCTCGTCTGTCACCCTTATCGTATAAAAAACAAAAAACTTATGAAAAATTGGAGACGCCATCATTGCGTACGCCTCAGTTTTCTCTTTTAATACTCAAATTCGATGTAAATTAATAAGAAACATATTAGAAGGATTGTGGCTATTACGGAAATGTATGTTTCTCTTTTATTTTTAAATTCGTTAAATTTGTTTGCAGGATGTCCATCTAATAACTGTGTAATTTTACTATTTAACTCCTTAATTTATAGGTATATGGAAATATGGATTTCAGCGTGATACAAGTTCTAGTGTCTTATCTAGAAAGAAAACAGCGGAATATGTTTTTATGGACGGCGGCCCGTATATAAAATTAACGGTTTAATATAAGCACAAAGGATCAAAATACATTTTTTATAAAATATGATACAAATTTGAAGCACAGTTGTTTTTTGCACTAAACCACGCTCTCGGCGCATTGTTTGATCTGTTTATGGATAGTAGCATTTGGAATGTAGACAACCAGCTATGACTTATATGGTAAATCCAAGAGATAAGATTAAACATTTTTGGACTTTTTCATGCATTAAATGATGATAATCTTCAGTTTCTATCTTGGGAACTAAATATCTAGTTTTATGGATGTGTCGGTATATTTAAAGAGAGACAAACGTACCGATATTTCATATATATCAGCATGAGTGATATTTAATTGCTTAAAAAAGGAGTTCTGTTGCATCCGAGAGATTATTTTTTATCACAAGTCTTATCGCCTAAATCACTTTTACCCGTGAATATAGATTACCGTTACCGTTATAGGCTAATATTCTATTAAAGTTCACGGCTGAACATAAGCCTCATCCATAGATTGTCTCATAGGGGGATATTTGCCATAGTTGCCACGCTTGGCAAGCGGGTTTGTAATCGCAGTTTTGTATTTTTAGTCGTTATTTGGAAGACACTGGTGCAGTTCAATCCCCAGAAGATACAACATTGCGCGTTAACCGCTAAAAAGAACCCCTTTCTCGTATCTCCTTATTTTCAAGGCACTCCTCTTGCTACCTCAGCTAGCATCGGAATCCTCTGCGTCGATATATCGAATAATGTGCAGTTTAGTGGTCACTTGGAGTCGATTACCACCAGTGATTTTTCCGGACCGATACGACTTAGAGACCTTCAAGAAAAATACGTACTCCTTTTTAAAAGGCCGGCAACGCATCTGAAATTCCCCTGGTATTGTAGTTGTTTATTGGCGGCGGTAATCACTTATCATCAGGTGAGCCGCATACTCGTTTGCGGTTTACCTGAAACTGGCGTAAACTTAACACCAGGTAAATTGTTAGTGTTTTTCACTTAAATTATACAAAAAAAACATCAAATATTTTTATCGCTTAAGAATCATAGAAGGCACTCAGGACGAAGAAAAAATATTTCGTTATGTATAAAAAAAATCTCAGGTTGTTTACATTCATTTTGTGCGTGGTCCTTCCCCGGTTGAGCCGACCCACTCGTGCTGCAACTATAACATAGCTGCAACGTGGCACTACAAAACCTAAAGGGTAAGTTAAAGTTCTAACTATTATGCTCCCACTACTGGACACAGGCCTTCTGTCATTTCTAAAATGACTATGGAGTTCTTAATCCGCCGCCCTACACTGGTGCTCCATGGCGGTCTTCAACATGTCCTCGTATTTATTCCACAGAAATTTCGTTTTTACTTATTATAAACCAGTGCTTGATAACAATTTTATATAATGGCAAATGTATATAATATCTATAATATAGATATTATATAGACAGAGACATCATATAGACTCTATATGATGCCCTAAATAGTAAATTGCACTGTTTAAGCGTTACAAAAGCCTATTCACTCTTGTATTGAAGACTCCCGGATTGTAATCGGATGGAAATGCAGATGCTGGCAAATTATTTCACTCCATCATTTATTGTTGTACACAAAGCAAACTGTTTAGTTTGAATGCGTAGAACATTAACAACAAAAGGGATGAGGGCCCACTAATCACCTCATTGTCCGTTAGTAGAAAGGCGAGGTGGGAATTAAGGCATGTTATTCCAGCGCACGCTCTTCAATATGCATCCTATGAAACACAGATAAGCTCCCTACTCAGTGCATGTGCTTGAAGGTGAAAAGGTTTCAAACAGTTATTTTAGTATATTAGGGTCACTCAATCAATCAGACTAAGACCAATAAGCCGTACGCTGCAAGCTTGCCTAAAAAGCTAGCCTGCCATACCCTGTCAAAAGCTTTCGAGATACCAAGGTAAACAGCAAATGCTTCCCCACGGTTCTCGAGAGCCACATGTAGATTTCTTCAGGGCCTGACCTTTACGGCTGATCAATTGTAATAAATCAACACTTAGAATTAATAATTAACAATTTAATTAGTCTGCGAAATAAACGGCGAGGGCTACCACGAATCTTATCAATTTTAATATTATTATTAACTCGTTTTTTTTTCTATCATAAAAAATATGAAACTAATTTCAAAAATTATAAAAATATTCTTGTGGTTATATGACAGAAGGTTATATTTTTATAGATTTTATTAGTTTAATATATACATGCGTTGCAATTCATCTAAGCTCACTTAAGATTCATCGTAATCTATTCGGTTAATGGTCTAGGAACGCAAACAGTATAAACGAAATTTGTTCATTTTATACACATAGATAGACATAAAATAGCAGCAGCATGCTGCTGCGTTTCGTATGGTGATTATAGAGAACCAGAGACCCTTTTTCTATAAATGAGGCATTCCGTCTTAGTCCTCAGAGGTGACAACGCATCTGCATTTTGATTCTTGACTGAGGATAGATGTAAATGTCTGTGTCCTCCTTTTGTATATTTCAAAGATTAAATAAAATAATAAGTATTTTGTTTAAAAACACATAAAGGTCTTAATGTTACCAATAAACCACACGCAAAAATTTTGATGCTATTTTTGAGAAATTCAGTTATTTAGGTGTATAGAAAGATCATGGTCATGTCGAAAGAATGAACGAGGAAAGAGTGACAAAGCAAATTTATGTTTCAGAAGTGAACGGCAAAGTCGGGAAGGGATACCCTAGACGAAGATTTATCGACCAAATCGGCGATATATTGAAAATGGGCCAAATTAGGAGTACCCTTAACCGACAAGCTTATATTCGTAGATGTAAAGGAGGCGAGAGAGGTGTGTTAGGATCGCGCCAAATGGAAGTCCGTAGTCTCTGCCTACCCCTCTAGGTGACAGGCGTGAGTGTTTGTGTTGTGTTGTGTGTGTTATAGAAAGATGTTTAAAGAAAAATAAAGGCACAGGCCAGTAAAAAAGTACAAGAAATCGGTAATGATATTTTCCTCAACATCTTTTTGTATTAATAAAATTTCGTTGACATTTCGTCGCATTCCGTTAAATACATTAGCACAAGGTTAGAATGTGCACGATACTGAGTTGGAACTTTGCTCTAACAAAGACATACCAATTGAAGCAAAATTCATAGCAGGTTGCAGAATGAATTCCTAAATAATTTGTCAACGCAATATGTTCCATGTCTATCAAAGTGTTTCGATTGACTTACAATATACTTACATAATATATTTCACTTAACAAAAATAGCTGACCCTTGGAGAAAAGCCTAATACCCTTAACAGCTTCGAGTACTTTTATCGTCTACTTAGAGCTCTCCATCTTTGACTTTGTTTTCTGCTTCGTCTTTCTTTATCAGCTTCTATAAATGTCTTTTCAAAGATGCACCAACTAGCGTGGAATCTTGAATGATTACATTTTTGACTTTGATTAGAGTAAAAGGATTAAGAATATGCAAACCTTCACTTGCCACTCCACGCAAGGAAGTAAGGCTATACTTACCTAAAATTCCAATGAACCGTGACCAGTACTTGCAAAGCTATATAATTTTAATCTTGCACAAACAGTTTGTATATCGCCTTTATAACTTTTCTAATATAGTCGCCACTGATAAAAAGAGACAGCTCTGTTTTTCTCTTTCGTGAACGCACAAGCGTGGAGTAACAGCGCAGCGACCGCGAGGTCTCCGCCGAGCCGCCTAGAGCAGCACGTCGCGCAAGTAAAAGTAACTTTTAACAATACCTTGGCGGCGCCTGCGCGCTGCGTACGTCAGTTTTGCCAACTCCCACTGCACGACAGAACGCATTCTTAGTTTTTACGGACTTCAAGGTGGTTGCCAGTGCTTTTTTTTTTGATGGACACAAAAATTTAAATTATTTAAAATACATAGTGATTTTGACTCTACGTGCATTTATGTGACGTTCGAAACAGTTTTTAACGTTTATGAGATTTAAATATTTTCTGAAGGTGTTATATGCTGCAGTTTTTGGATGTTACACTCGATTGAACGTAAGTGATATTTGATTTTTTTAAAGGAAATAAAATTCGAGCGCATATGTGACCTCTTGCACATCATCTGCCTACACGCATATGTCACACATCCGTTCGCAAATGTTATCTTTACGAATGTAATTCAAATGAAAAGTTATAGACATGTAATGTGATTGTATTTAATATTTCATGGCTAATTACTTTAAATTTATCATGTTTAATTTAACACGGTGGATAGTTTTGCAAATTGACGAAAGTTGTTATTGGTTTCCCGCTGGTAACTGGTCACCAGGCACTCGATGGCCTACTGATTACTTGTGAACAACCTATATTACTAGAACAGGTTTCAGTCGTTACAGACACATGTAGTTGTCGATAATAGTGAAAAGCTTATACTTTAGCGCTTAAATATTAGCAGTTGTCGTTTACGTATTACCGAGTATTTCGGTGGTAAACATTTTGCATGTTTTAACATGTTTTACTATGTTACAGTCCTAGACTTCGAGTGCAACCGAAAAACAAAAGCAAAAAATAAAGCATCCACTTTGACGTTCCACTGCTGGGCATTGGCCTTCTTTTATTTTTGAGGAGTTTTAATTACAAAACATGTTTAATAAAAATTACAGTTTTAAAAGAAATATGATTCGTGTTCAAAAGGATAATTGGCTACTACTGGTCGAGTTTCAGAGTTGTTAGCGAATTTTATACAAGGAAAGTAAATCCAGTGGTCACTGCTCACAGCATATTATTATGTGAACTTGATATACAAGGTCAAATGACCAGACGTCGAGAACTCTATTTTTCAAACTTGTATAATATATGAGCTAAGGAATGTTTGTTTCAACTTTAAAAAATAACAATTATGCTATAACTACGTAAGAATAAGAAACATAAATCATAATTATCATTTAATTTAAAGTTGTAACAAATCTAGGCAATATTATTTCAACCAATTTGCTATTCAACTAAACTGGTTTTGTTGAATAAAATCTTGTCACTCAAAGAACAGACTCGAACTTTACTTGTGTTTCAAATTATTGACTAATAGAATTTTAAATAAATGATATAAAACTTGTGTGGAGTGGTACGTGCGTATACACTTCATTCTGGCTCTCATCACAAGAATATTCCGTTAATGACCGGTGCGACATTAGAAGCGGCTGAAACGGTGTAAGTGACGTAAATATGAGTATGTAAGATATGACTATGTATTTGTGCAATTTGTTATGAAAGCTATTTGTCCATGGAGGTTACACTAGTTTCTAAAACATTCGCGACTAATTGTCACCTTTGGTGACAAGCGGGTTAGTACTCCTCTTGCCTTAAGTCTTGATAGAGCCATTTAGCAAGGAAATACTTGGGTTTTCCCCTCACTTCGCGTGGAATACGTGCAGATCTACAATAGTAGTCTTTGGGCAAGTAGTTCAAGTATCAAAAAATCACCTTGTACTTAGTACTTGCTAATATTAACTATTATTAAAATTATATGCGGTATAAGAAAATGATTAAAACAAAAATTGAAAATCTATAACATCAGTCGACACGATTTTTGGGTATGACTTCTGAATATCATATTTTGGTTTATTCTACGTTACTAATAACTGAAAAAATGTTTTTTTTAACCAGAGCAATATTTCGAATTTTAAGAAAAGTTACAGAGTATTTCATAATTTTATCATAAATTAGAATCAGATTATTTTTGCTGAACGTCGGTGTACTTTTAATTCAAGAATAATGATTTGTAATACTTATGTAAAATAATAAGGAAATCAAATTCAAATATGAATATTTTTGGTGATTTTCTTACGTTTGCATGGACATAAGAAGATATATTATATATAATCTTCCATCATATTCTGTTTGTACTGCCCTTGGTAATGTCATTCCAGTCTATCACATCTTGGTGAAAATGCTCTCCTTGCTCCTTTGAGAAGGCTCCCATATTATCTTTAAAGATCAGAGTAAGAATATTTTCGACATTTTTACCAGCTCGACGCCTTCTTGGGTTAACGATATAAAAATAACGGTCCTGCTAACTCAACATGATTACTAGGCTCCCTCTAAAATCTTTTCACTGCAAACTTCATATAGGTCGTTTTTCTCCTCGATATCAGGCTAACAAAAACAACTAGTGCAATTACAGCTTTCTGCGTAAAAAAATTTACATAAATACCGTTATTTTATAAGTTTATTTCGAACAAATTGTTAATTAAAAAAAATGAGAACTGAGATCAATTTTAATTAATACTGATAATATTTCCGTACATTTAATGAGTTTCAAAAAATCAAGTTTCAAATATATTGGTGCGTTCGAAACTTTATTAGATTTTAATTTTGAGTTTCTTACCTTCTAAAGTATTTTTGCAGTTAACACAGGCAAAGTGAGGTAACGCCATTTTTTAAGTCGGTAATTTATATGAACGGTTGTTGTGTGCCTTACGAGTATCATGCATTTTGACACAATTTGCTACCGTTTTGATCGAAGTACTATCACCTGCTACTCATAAAATCAATTAAGCCTAATGGCAGGGCACGGACCGCGAATTCGAAAGGTCATGGGTTCGATGCCGCCATTCGACTACTGTCGTAAACCACTTCTAACACAAGCATTTTAAGCTTACCAGAAGTGTTTAAAGGGAATATTAGTAATGTTTAATAGCATGACTAGTATTTTTTTTTAAAAATTAAATTTTTCAAAACTTACTTATCGACTTAAAGAAAGACTAATTTATGCATTTAAACAGAAACTCGGAAACAAAAATATTTTTTTCGACCTGTGTTATCTATCTCACCTTAAATCACTCATTGTTTTGTTGTGTAAAATGGCGTTAAATTAAAAAGGTTAAAGATTGATTTTGCATTATATTTTTAAGTTAGAAGATAAAGTATACCTTTTTTGTGTAAAAAAAATAATTTTGTCCATTTCACAGACAGACAGACCGACAGAAAAAAATAGTAATTCATGTACAAATAGCATGAAAATAGCCGCCTGAGCATAATATGAGCCAGCTATTTCAGTACTTCAAAAAAGGAGGATTCGCAATTCCGGAGCGTTTTTGTATACGTATGTTACGCGATACCTTCATCAGTTTTAAACAAATTTCAATTATCCTTTTTTATTAAATAGGTTAATACTTCAGGAATATGGTCCCATAGATCCCATATAAAATGGGAAAGCAAATTCTATCCCTAATAAGATGGCAAAATAAGTTGTTTTTAATGTAACTATTAAGAAGATATATAATAGATTATTTATATAATAGAATATTCCTTAGTCCACTCAAAAGGGTTAATAAAACAAAAAAAAATTAAAAGCAGACTTTAAGAAAAAAACGAACGAAAGAGAATTAAAAATAGCAAAACAATTTCACATTAAGAAATCGGAAATTCAAATCTTAAATTATATATATACTATGTTTTGCCCTTTTGAGTGGAAAAGGGAATATTATTATATGTATAGGTAGATATCCTATTATATGTGTAGTAAAGAAAATCAGTTTTAATTTACAATATAAAACGTCGAAAGTGAACGTTTCCGAGCACTCGCAACTCGATGTTCATTTTACTTACAAATTAAAGATGCGTATTTCCGTTAACTGATTCACTATGCGATATACCAAGGTAAAACGGTTCACGTTTTTAATGTGAATCATAGTGTCGATAACGCGGATCATCCTTGCTATAGAAAGTGTCTATGTTTAGCAGTACTGCCACAGCGTGAAAACTAATTAGACGGTGGTACTTCTGTCTACTGGCCGATGAGAATAAAATAAGAAATTAATTTTGAAGTTTCTACTTTTGTTATCAATTTACAAAACCAATGACATTGCATGTAAAATCAATATTTAAAACGTGACTTTCTTATTTGATGTACGTAGTTTTATATTTGATGATTTTGAGGGTTCCAACAATTAAGTGACAACGTGATTGAGAGAGGTGGTACGAGGATCTAAAAAAATGAATCTAAGAAGAAAGCTTCAATAAATAATTTTAAAATATAATTAAAAATAATATTTTTTTAATTAATTATGTAACACACTTTCATTCATTTATCTGAAAGTTCAAAAGAATTGTTTCCATTCCGAGATATTCAAAGCGTGATTGCATTATTAATTTATTAGATATTAACATTAATTTACATATCCGTCAACGGTAGATGTAATACGTGCGTTATAGATTCTAACACAAATGCCTGGATTGCATAAAAGATGAACACAGTAGCTCAATAACACGAGTCACTTTATATTGAATGTTATGAAAATTTGATTAACTCAATGACATCGTAAAATATAATTAGCTACTTTGTTATGATAATATATAGATGATAAAATAACTCTCAGGTTAACGTTCGCAATAAATATCTTATATTTCCAATATTATACCAATATAAAAGTTAATGAAATTGGGTGTTTATGCTAATCTGTTATCTACTTGCGTAATCCCTAGAACATTGGCGACGAAAACAAAGCACGCGTGATGAAATAATTAAAAAAGTAATTCATTGGGATAACGATAGCGTAGCCTATTTATGAAGTAAACGAAACAGGAATTTACGTGGTAGAACCATACTGCGGCTATATTTTGGTTGTAACACGAATGGGTCGAGTCGACTGAGGAAGAACCAGGCCCTCACAGAATCCCAGCATGAAATAGCAGCCCAATGCTGCTGAATTTTCTATGGTGAGTGTAGAGAACTGGAGACCCTTTTTTTCTTCTTAGTCTTCAGGGGTAACAAAGCGTCTATATTGCGATCCTTATCGACGATTAATGTAGATGTCTATGGATCACCATCAGGTGCTCGTTTGTCGCACTTATTATATAAAAAATATCGTGCGATGTGGTGAATTTTTTTGAACGGATATAGATACATAATTTTTTGATAAATTATAATCGATTAAATGATCGATTAGCATTCAGACTTTAAACAGTGACGTGCACCCGCGATTAACTCCAATGAACACTTTCTATTGACCCCACTGTACGCAGAAAGCTTGGACTGTTGTTACTATCTGCTCCAA